GTAGAAACAAATTTAGTTTTTTGTGATGCCATAGCATCCAAAATTAATTACTGCTCTCACTTTACTATCGCTTGCATTTTACGCTACTTTTTACAAATCCATGCTCCAGTCTATCAAAAAGTTAATTATTCTTATGTTAAAGCTAACCAAATAAGGCGAATTCATTCTGCCAGCATTGCAATAAGCTAAAATGTTGGAAATCAGTTTAGTGGTAAAGAAAATCATCAGAACAAGATTCAATCTTTTGATCTACTTTGGTAGTTAATTTGATCCTTCTGTACCACCGAGCAGATTTCAGCTTCTCTAGCTTTTTTAAGCATCAACAAGCTAATTCTGACTTATATAACTTCTTTTGGTATCTCTAACTGCATTTTAATCCCTTAAGTTCCCTTCCACCCTACTGACTCTTACTCTTTTGTACTTTTCAATTTCTTTACTTTAATTTGGTCTATCCATTCCCTAAACTTTGTTAAAATGGCTCTGATGCCCTCGTGCGCAAAAAATGATTAATTCTTTGGCCTGCACATCCTATTGAATCTTCAAAGGGTTTTGTGGAGATAGCCTGTAAATAAATTCTGGCGAATCGCTTCAGACAGGTTTCGGATTGAGTAGCAGAGCACGTTAACAAAGTACTGTCGTGCCAGGTGATTAAGGATTCACGTGGCTGTCAACTTCGTGCTGGCTGATTGCTAAATCTGCGATATCCTGCTCATTCATGTGCATCTATGTGTACGGTAGTGAAATATTTCCGACAACGATGCGCAACGTTTGTTTGGGGCTGTGCGCCGTAATTGCGCGAATTGGAGGCATTGTTGCACCATATGTCGCTTTACTGGTTTGTTTCATTGAATCCTTCTGAGAACAAGAAATCCTGGTGATGAACTGTGAGTAAAGGCAGTGCTGATGGATCCCATCCGCATTCGCCGAAGCATATTATATATACTAAAATTATGTCGTGGAGTGGAATCCAATCCTTCGAAATGTTAATGTTTATGCGACATCGGCTTCTTCCCTCTCTAACTCCCCTTCTTCTTCGGTTTCTGAATTAGGGAAGTTTCGTTTTCTTTTGGAAGTGAAAAGAACACCGATCCGAAATCAATCTCTCACGCCCAGGCCCATGCCCTGATCATCCAAGACTCCACTGGTCCCAAATTTGAATCTATCAAGGACTGCCAGTGACAGTCAACTTTACTGGTTAATTTGCAGGGCTCCATAAGCCCGTTGCTGCCGATGATATTTTTTGGCGCCGTATCAGTGGTAGCTGGGGCGCTAACGTTAATTTTGCCGGAAACAAAGAACTGCTTATTGCCCTCGTCGCTCAATGACGCAAAGAAGACAACTGGATAGTAGTGACCTTGTGTATCTCGTCCATACCACCACAGTAATGATGAAAAGCAACCAAGAAATTTTTTGGGTAAAATCGCCTCCAAATGGAAATGACAGTTTTGTGTAGCAGACGCATGGCTAAAAATGCGTTTGTGATGCCGCAGTGTGTGTGGAATTGCGTATGACAATGAATCTTGATGATTTTACGATGGCGTAGTCAATGAGTTTCACTTACCTCACAGCTGTTTAATACAACTTTTATCAGCGTTTAAACTGATTTCCGTTGTTATACATGTACTGGCGGAAGAGAAAACTAACAGCAGCTTTGTCAGAGGTAGTTACTTTTGGCACATACTATCGCCTACCTCTCTTCCCTCACAGAATGAATAAAAATGGAGGGAGCTTTTTTCAGTTTGAAAAATTCACGCAAA